GATGAAGGACAAGGAAGAACAACGAAGGATATAAAGGTAAATGAGATAATAACATGGTAGATGAAGTGAGATGAAGACAATTAAGGTAGATTAGGGTAGATGAAGGTAAATAAAGGCAAAGGACATGGATAAAGGACAATGAGGCATAGTATGGTAAAATTAAATATATATATATAAATATATATAAATATTTTAAATATTCATTGCATGATACGTTAGAGTACTAAGAGTAAACTATTTTATTTTTTCAGTTGCATGAAAAGCTATGAATATATATATATATATATATATATATATATATATATATATATATATATATATATATATATATATATATATATATATATATATATATATATATATATATATATATATATATATATATATATATGTATTCCATACCGATACCAAAAACCAAGATATTTGACTCTGGTCCCAGTGAGACCAAATCCCCTTACTGCTGGTTTCTCCTTTTGGCAAATAAGATGAGTTGAGGAACAGTGAATAGTTTTTGAATTAATTTTTAACCTCGCTCTGTTACATGCGAACATGTTTTGCCAGTGGCCAGCCCTAACAACAATTTTTTTTTTTTAATTGTGCATGTGTTTTCGTCAAATGACTAACTGACTGCGTCATAAAAAAACGACCAGAGATTCGTTTACATCATTCAATTAACTCGTACGATAGTGAGGTAAAACTTTCCTTCAAAATACTTAACAATCTGTAAATTACTTAAACAGCGTGTCCTCACGTATCCGCCATTAAGCAAATGCCGTAAGCCCTTTAGTGATCTCTTTGGCTTTAAAGAGATGTCCTTCGTTGATTTTTTTCAAAGAAACCTTAAGCCTTTTTTACTCGATTATAAATCAGCTTTGATAAAGCGAGAGCGGATATCTTGTGGATATCAATAGACTGAAAAACTTAAACTACGAGGAAAACAAGATAAAAATACAACAATTTTGTAGATCCCCTTTTAAGCAGGTACTTTTGCTAGGGGGCAGTTCATCCGTGAAGTCAGTCCGAGGGAATCGAATTATGTTGATTGTCGACCATTTAATATAGTATATCCCCTACTCATAAAAATGCCATTTTGTGCTAAAAGCCCTGTTTGTGCTTATTTTCAGTTGCACTAAAAGTAAAAGATCCCACGAAAGCTGTTCAAACTGCCCAAGACACTTCGTTCTTCTTGTTTATAACGATTCTTTAGGTTTTATACTTAATGGCCAAGGATGTTTCTGTTTGTTGTGCGAAGCTACAAGAGTGGCTCCAAACTTTGCTCCCCATATTCCTTTGATACCTATCTCCTTAAAAATGCATCGATTCTGAGGCAAACAAAGAATGCAATAGTCTATCTCACATTAGGGTCTATCTAAGAGCCGAATAGGAAACAAATAGATGTTTAAGTTGTTTCCACCGAGTGTGGACAATTTCGTTTTCAATTCTTGGAAAAGAAGAATTTTGGCACGAACGACGATAAATCAGCCAAAAGCTCAGGCATAATTCTAACTTGTTGGGGAGATATTGTCAAAAACTAAACGTAGCCGTCCACCGTGCCATTGACTCGACATTGGCAAGCCATTTCCAGGGCAGCCAACTTGAAACTAAACCTTTATAAAAGGAGGTCATTCTATGTACTACGAAAATGTTTACGTTTGAAAAAGTAAGCATTAGTTCTAAGCTCTCCTTTTTACCTAAGTTTATATGCATCAGATGTTACATACCTATTCCTCGGCGATTGCCACTCATTGTAAATCCTCGAACAACTATTTGCTAACAAACAGTTAGTAAATAGACTAATAAAACCTCAACCTCTAAGTACTGTTAAGTGCACTTGCCTCTCCAATTTGATTGCTTTTCTGTCTCCTGTGTGCTCTTTGCAAGAAATGATCAAAGTTTGTGCATAATGACGGTCTTTTAAATATTTGTTAAAAGAAAAAAACAAATTACCAAACAAATATCCTTTATTTTAAGTCTTAGGTGGGACTTTAGACTTCCGCAGTTAATAAAGACTTACTAATTTGGCGGAAAATGCTCGTGTCAATACGTGCTATGACCCTCTTATCCTTTTGGGTGGTCTTGCACAGAGTTCGTGGAAACTGGCACGGAATCTGTTATGGTTAATGATTAAGGCGTCTTCTCAAGTAGTCTCTATTCAGAGCGGCAAAACAAGGTTATAATAGATATTTCCTGATGTT